AAAAGAATCTGTGACCTCGAAATAATCTGTGACCTATAGAATTTTAAATCTGTGATCTCGAAATAATCTGCGATCTACAAAAATTTTTATTTGTGATCTCGAAATAACCCATGACCTACAGATTTTTTGATCTGTGACCTCGAAAAAGTCGCCGGATCGGAGCAGTCGCCGGAATTAAAGTGCCGTCGGAGTAGTCACCGGAGTAGTAGTCGGAGCAATGGGGGGTGGGGTGGGTTAATTTTATTATGTTACAATTAAATATTTAATTTAATATAATAATTCTGAAATGTAATTAATTAATTCAAGAAAAACCTGATTTTTGTAATTGTAAACTTTGGGGCCTGATTTTTAATTTTGGAATAGTAAACACCTGAGCTGTAAATTTTTTCCAATTCAATAACCACTTGGATTCCTGATTGGAAACTACGAGAGTGGGCGCCTGAGGTTGAGAAACATATACACGCAGAGACAGAGATAGGAATTGGCGGATGGAAGAATTGAAAAAAAAAAAAATGAACAGAAAATGGCACATGCACAAAAAAGAGGAGAGACGCGCACTTAGAAAAGGAGAAAGAAAGGGCAGCATCAGCGGGATTATATTTGAAATTTGTTGTGCAATAATTGGGAATTATGAGTAGCTAAGTATTCTTAGTGTTTGGATTATGATGAAACTTAGATCATCTTATTTATTTTTGACATTCAAAGCATCTTTTCAATTCTTGAATGATTGACATGAATTTAATTTTCTCTACAATTATATACGCAATAGTTCTATGAATATTGTGAATTCTTTTACCTTCGAAAGATCAAAAATACGTTAGATATAGTGTCTATTATCTTAGAATCCGATAGGAAATAGAAATATATCACTATACTTTACGCGATCTTTAAGTATTCATAAATCTTTAATGCATTTTTATATGTTCGCATTTTTCATAGAAATATAGTCGGATCACATAAAGGAATATATTTAATTCTACTCGAGAGAGATTATTAAACAAATTAGGAATATTGGTCTTTATAATTGAACCGTGTTGTGAAATTTATAAGTTCCGAAGTTAAAGGGGATTGATATAAGGGGATTCGAGATCCTAATACGCTTGTTTTAATCAAACTAGCATTAATTACAATCTTGAGTCGATTTTATTTAAGTCTTGCATTTTTAATTATAATAGTTAATGATAATTTAATTCTAGAAAATCATAAGTTTTCATTGTTTCGGTTAAGATGAAATTAATTTAAATTTAAAATAGTACAATCTTTGTAGATACGATATTTGGGCTCTAAATTCATTTTACTACTTGTTAATGAACCGTGCACTTACGGTATTTAAAATGAACAAATATTTTCGTGACAAACACCTCGTCACTACTCTAGACGAATTAAAAATGCTCACAATTTTATTACCGAGTTGGGACAAACAAATTATTTAAACTATTAAGAATAAGATTCTTGACAACAAAAATTAATAAGAGAGAAATTAGAGAGAAAAGAGAGCTCTCAAATTTTGGTGTAGAATAAGGAGGAGAACACCTCCTTATATAGTACTAGGATGAGGGAGATTTCAATTTTCTTAGTTAATTTTGTATTTAACACAAATAATGTTATATTGGCCATGAATGAATTTGTAACCACCAACTCAAATATAAATTAGCTATGGAATTGAAGTGGTTAATAACCCAAATTGTCACCAAACTTTGCAAAAAGTTTTCGCAAGGTCACTGAACTTAAAAAATCACTCAAGTTATCACTGAACTTTACAAACTGTTTACACGGGGTCACTAAACTTTAAAAATCATCCAATTCATCACTAAATTTTGCAAAAAGTTTCCCAAGGGATCATTGAATTAGTGATCCTATGGGAAACCTTTTGCAAAGTTCAACAATGTGGAATTTTTTTACCAAATTTAGTGACGAATGTAGTGATTTTTAAAGTTCAGTGATCCCATATAAACCTTTTGCAAAGTTCATTGATAATTTAGGTAATTTTTAAAATTCAGTGACCATGTAAAAACCTTTTGCAAAGTCTAGTGACTATTTGGGTTATTAACCAGAATTGAAGAGACTTAAAATCTATGAATCATTCTTACAATTCATTCATTCATTCAATTATTATTATTATTATTATCATTTATTATTATTATTATTTTTAATATTTTCCAACAAGACTAACGTAACAGGGCCTATAGGACGCGAAACTAGGCACCAACAAAAACTAAGAACTATCAAAATTATCTCTAAAACCTCAAACAACCAAAAAGAGTCAAAATTACATCTCAAACCTCAAATATGATAGAAAAACACAAAAGGATTATCGATCAAAACATTAATCAATCCTTTATCTCATATAATAAACCCTAGATTCATCTCCATGTTGAAATCCGAGAAAATAATTAAACATAAAACATACCTATATCCATAGTAATCCAATTCTTTCTCTGGATGGGTTATGATCTTCCGATTGATTGGTGATCTTCACTTTAATTTTACTCTCTATTGATGGGGATGTAGAGAACCTCAAGAACACCACAAATGTGGATTATAACCATATAAAATAATAGCAACAACTGAAAGTCAATATCTTTCACTTGTTTCAAATTGGCCATTGATCAATTTAAAACAACATTCTGGTCTCTACACTATATTTCCATGAAATCTAATACCCATTAGTCACAATAAAACTTTAAAGAATCACTTTAATTAACTAATATCCTTTAAATAATAGCACCGTGCATTTTAATATACAACGTGTGACCTCGTATATGTTGAAAATATACAACAAAATAATCAAAACCATTTGATGAATGCAAGCACCAATCTGAGTGACACTATAATCTGAGTGACATTATAAACCACACTGCTTCCTAAACATAAACCATTTAGCTAAGTTATCTGCTCCTTTCATTCACCAACGCCCAAGTATTTAATAGTTGATTACACTCATATTTGACGAACACCCAGTAGCGAACCCAGTACAAAAGTTCAGTCTGGACGAACATTGATCATTGACCGTCGACAATCAACGATCGTAAGAGCGACGTCGTTTATTAATAGATACAGAAAGCAGAGCCCGAGAAGAAGCCGCTTACCGGTAGGTGGTAGCAAGCAGCAGCAACGCCGGTAGTACAACAAGTTAGCAACCGGTAGGCAATGGCGTTGACAAAACGCAGCCAGCATTGCATGGAGAAAGAGAATCGAAGGATTGAAGACTGTGAAGGGAAGGATTTGGACTTTCGAACTGAGTTAATGACTTAACACAAAAAAAGGGAATTTTATTAATGAAATATTATTTCATTTTATTAGGCCCCATTTTTAAAAAAAGGCCCAACTCTCTCAGCCCAAAACAAATTGGCCAACACTAAAAAAAAATAAGAATAAAAAAAATAAGCCCACCTGATGTCTTCTTCCTCAGTTCTTCCCGTCTTCTCTTGCTTCCTCAGGTCAGCTCCCACCACAAAGTCTCTCTATAATACAGGCTACAAAAAAAAGGAAATTTTATTGATGAAATATTATTTCATTTTATTAGGGCTCATTTTTAAAAAAGGCCCAACTCTCTCAACCCAAAACAAATTGGCCAACACTAAAAAAAAATAAAAATAAAAAAATAAGCCCACCTAATGTCTTCTTCTTCAATTCTTCCCGTCTTCTCTTGCTTCTTCAGGTCAGCTCCCACCACAAAGCCTCGCTATATTGCCCTCAGAGCACATCTCCAAGTGGTAAAAGGGGAAGATGGAAAAACTCCAATTTTGCTTGAGTCTGCCGCATCAAGGGTTCGAATTCTGAAATATGAATTTGGCCATTGGGTAAGTGCAAGTGTACAAGTAGCTTTTCACCCTATACCCTTGGAGGCTTAACCTGCGATTTACCTCATTCACCAAGGTTCTGGACAGGACAGGGGGGGGCCGCTAAGAATGCTGTTCATCATTTTTATAATATAGGCTACAAACCAATTATTGGTATCCCAACAAATAGGGAACCAAAGTAGCTTGCTACTTTGTGCCAATCTGCACAATCCTTTGGGAACCTGAATATGCAACTCCACTTTTAGTCAAGCCAAAGCAACGTGGGCCGGCGGCGCCCGGCGTTATTAAAACTCCGGCGGATCCAGAATAGGCAGCCGCCCCCTCTTGTCGGGTGCTGAGTCTGCCCCTGCAAACAGCAGTTCGTGGTTCATTTGATTAATGTGAGAGTCGATGTTGACAAATTCAAAGTGGTGTTCTCCGTAACTCCAATTGCAAATTAGTTATTATATCTTGTTTGGTTAGATGGCCAACATAGTGGGAGGGAAAAAAAAAAAAATTTTATTCATTGCACAATTCAATAAAACACACGAAATGCGCCCGTAAAACATTAACTACCAACATATTAACAAGCAATAAAAGTACTTAATCCCGATTAATCAATCCCTATCAACTCATTCATATGCATTTTGGCAGTAAAAAGAATTAGATTTAATTAATTCCCAGCAACTTGCAAGGGAGATGAACACAATTGGATGTGCAATCTTCTTGCTTTCATTAGTTTTGCATTTCAATAAAACAAATAATTATATCAATTTCATATATTAACATCATAGATAAGAATGTCATTTAATGTCCTACAAAGCTTTATAATTTCTCCCTCTCTTTTCTCAAAAAAAGTAGTCGCAGGATAATTTAATGAAAACATTAATTAACTAGGTCATGTCACTGTTAACGTTTTTCAATGACAAGTTTTCCGAAATTTGACACAAATGAGCCTTTATTTCAACCTACTTTTTTTATGGAGACTTGAGTCTTTACATGAGTGGGTCAAATATGCTTATTATTTTGATGAAGTACTAGAATTCTCTGTAGAACCAAGAAAATGTTAGAGAAAATCTTTGTGCCAAAGGGAATGTTTTAATTGTGTAATTTTTTAACAGATGAAAAAGAAGGGTAGTTTAAGCACCTGTTTCTGTGCAGAAAAAAATAGGGTTTAAGAAATCAGATCTCTTGTTTTTGTTATCAGTTTTTGAAAATATGATTTCTCCAATGTGGTTTCTTCACAATGTAGCAGCTATTTCTCTTGGGATTTTCTTCATTGCTTCATCTTCTGCAGAACAAGGTCTCTTTCTGTCTCTCACACACACACATGCACACCTAGGTTCATCACAAAAAATATTTTAGTAATGGAACACCGCCCAGTTGAAGTATTTCTCCAGACAAACACACCGGCAAATGTGTGTTTTTTTGGGAACTAATTTGTTAGTAGATCAACTTTTGAGAATTTATTATGAAATCAAGAATGTTGATTTATTTTCAATTTCATTTGTAGGTGGTGAACATATTGCATTCAATATATGTACAAATTCTGATTGAATTATGTTTTATGGAATTATCCCTCAATGTTTCTTAAAATATTTGGCATACACCCGCTGGTTTTTCTTTATTTTCATTTGTATGATTCTTGTTTATTTATTTATTTATTTTTTCTGCAGCTCCATATTCATCGTTTGCAAAAGATGCTAAATTGGCCCCACCGGTGATGTACTTCGATTACATAGTAATTGGTGGCGGAACATCTGGCTGCGCACTGGCGGCGACACTTTCACAAGGCGGAGCAAAAATACTATTACTAGAAAGAGGTGGCTTGCCTTATGGAAATCCCAACATCACCAACATTGGTGGCTTCCCAGAAACCTTAGCAGACACCTCTCCAACATCAGCTTCTCAGCTTTTCCTCTCCATGGATGGCGTTTTCAACCACCGCGCTCGGGTGTTGGGCGGTGGCTCTGCCATAAACGCTGGTTTCTACACCCGGGCGAGCTCCGACTATGTGGCATCGTCGGGGTGGAATCCAAGATTGGTGAATGAATCATATGAATGGGTGGAGAAGAAAGTAGTGTTTCAGTCACCAATGCTGACGTGGCAATCGGCGGTGAGGGACGGGTTGCTTGATGCCGGAGTTTCCCCGAATAATGGTTTTACATATGAACATCTGCCGGGAACTAAAGTTGGTGGCACAATGTTTGATCAAAATGGATATAGACATACTGCTGCGGATTTATTGGAGTATGCTGATCCAACAAAGATTTCAGTTTATTTGCATGCAACAGTTTATCAAATACTGATCAGGACAGTACCTGCAGGTGAGAATTTCTCTCATGTTCTATAATATTTTGGACAATTGTCAAATCTTTATAAACAATCACGTTAGTTTCAATGTAGTTGCACAATTAGTTTTAATATCGGAAATCTTCTAAAGTTCTGTTAATCATTATCGTCTCACAAGCCCAACTTTATAATTTTTTCCAATTTGAATTGGTGCCTAAGAATTTAAGTAACACATACTTCCATGAGTTAGATTTAGCATAAACTGTGCAATTATAATTAAAAGAATGTAATCAATTTGTTCCTTTAATGAGATTAACTCTCTAAGAGAATAATAGATTGTTGTACAAAACGTTAACACGAAAATTGAAAAGAAAAACAATAAGATTAACACATGGAAATTTAAGTAGTTTATTAATGTGTCTATGTCCATGGTTGTACGACATGAATAATCCACTAACATTGACATGCGGTTGTTTATATAGAATCCTAATCCCGAAAGTATACTTACAATTCCTTATTGTACGCTCCTCTCCATGAACTAGCTCCCATATACAAAATATGAGTCACCTAATCACGATCTCCACTGGACGAATGACCCCTAAGAAGATAGTAGCTGCAAGCTCGTGACATTAAATAAGTTGGGGTATGTCTCCTCTTTAGCACCTAGAGACATTTATCATGTGAACTTGTTTGCATTAATGACCTTTGTCAATATGTTTGCTGCATTTTCAATAGTTTGTACCTTCTGCATACCCGAGTCACCTAAAATAACTAACTCTTTGATCATGTGAAACCTCACATGTATATGTTGGGTCCTTGTATGATAACCTAGTTCTTCACCAAATAAAAGGCATTTTTGTATTAAGTAGACCTTTTGTTATCAAGATCACTGCATAATCTGAATCTACATACCCATAACTGAAAAATCCTCTTGTTGTCTACCAAACAGATATCATAATTCATGATATATCTCAAGTATCTGAAAATTCACTAGACTACATTCAAATGTTGTCTCCTAGGATTAGTCATATACTTGCTCACTAGATTAATTGTGTATGTATCTAACCAAGTGTAGACCATGGCATACATCAAAGATCTCACTACAGTAGCATATAGTATTTTTGACATGTCTGCAACGTCTTCCTTTTTACTCGAGCACTGGCTGATAAACAATTTGAAATGATTCGCTAGTGGTATGCCCATAACTTTAGCATTAGTCATACTAAAATTCTCTAGGACATTCTTCACATAGTTCATCCGAGAGAATCATAACCTCCTAGATTTTCTATCCATGCAAATTTCTCCCATAAGAATCTTCTTCGAAGCACTCTAATTCTTCATGTCAAATTCTTTATTCAAGTTTTTCAAATTGTTGACATCAGTCATATTCTTAGCAACAATCAACATATCACCCACATATATTAACAAGAAAATGAAAGAACCATCATCATGGCTCTTAACATAAACACAAAAATCATACTCATCAAGTTGTTTTTTTTTTGGGTAAAAAAAACTGCTTGTACTACTGCCCTTGAAGATTCAACCTATAAATATCCTCCTCCAAGTTATCATGAAGGAAGACAATCTCCACATCCATCTACTCCAACTCCATTCCAAGTATGCTACAAGACCCAACACTTATCTTAGATAAGTATGTCTACCCACAAGGAAGAAAATCTCATCATAATCTACTCATTTCTTCTATGAGTGCCCCATTTCTACTAGCCGAGCCTTAAACTTTTCACTGTCCTTTTTCTTGTACACCCAATTGCCACTTCTCCTTCGTAAACCCCACTAATTCCCAAGTTTGGTTCTTATGCAAAGACTCAATCTTCTCATCATAGCTCCTATCCATCTATATCTTTCCCTACTCTCTATAGCCTCCTGAAAAATAGAGGATCATTGCTAAGGGTAACGAGTGTATAAGAAACCAAATCTTCAAAACCATACCTCGATGGTGGTTTAAAAGTGTGCCAGGGTCTCCATGTATCTACACTGTGATACTTCTAAGGTAGAGTCTTCTAAATTCTGATTATGCATGTCTTCAGTTGCTCTCTCTAACTCAACTTGCACCACATGCTTATTGTTGCAGCTACAATCTACTAGCTTTTGATCCTTTTCTCCTAAGTACTCTCCAGCATAGACTTCTCATCAAAGATCATGACCATGTTAATTACCACCTTTCTTGCAAGAGGATCCCAAAATTTGTATCCCTTCACCCTTTTCTCAAGTCAAACCCGAGAAAGATACACTACTTGTACTTTAGGTCTTATCTTTTTATCTCTCATCACTAGAAATATGCATGTATGTCGAACATCATAATACTTTCAAGCAAGAATAATCAACTTCTTTACTTGTCCATACTTTCACTGTGGCATTTCCGTCTAGTGGTGCCCGTAATGATTTGTTTATTAAGAATAACGACATACTTATTACATCTTTCCAGAATTTCTAAGAAAACCCAGCATTCAACCTAAGACACATTGATCTATCTGTTTCCGCTACACCATTATGTTGTAGTGTTTTGCACATTGCGAAGTGTCCCTCATTCCCACACTGAAAAGAAAATTCAAAGAACTTCAAATCTGTGTACTTAGTCCCATTGTCTGATCTCAGACACTTCACCTTTTTCCATGTTTGGTTTTCCACCGCAGCTTTCCACACCTTGAACTTCTCAAAAGTTTCTAACTTGTGCTGCATGAAGTATGCCTAAACTTTTTAGAAAATCGTCAATAAAAGTCATAAAATACACATTTCCACCAATGATAATTCCTTCATTGGTCCCCAAACATCTGAATGAATGTAGGTATACCCCTATCTTATGTGTGCCCATCTTGATTTGCACCTTTTATTTCTTACCTAAAACACAAATCTTGCAAAAGATGATTGTATGTCCTTCAACAAATTTCTCTTATGAAGCTCCATCAATCCCTGCTCTCCCATATGACCAACCTCATATACCATAAGATTGTACTGTCTAATTCAAATTCTATAGTAGTTGCTCCACCAACAGTTGTCGTACCTAGCAAAATGTAAATATTATCGATAATTTATGCCCCTTCATATCAACCATAGCTTCCCTTGTCACCTTCATCACTCCACCTCTAGATCTATAGTAGTAACCATGAAAATATAAGGTTGAGCTTCAATTAACCAACCTATAGATGCCGACAAATCCTTGTTAGGGTGGGGGGGGGGNGTTAGGGTGGGGGGGGGGGGGGGGTCAGGTGATCGAACATGCTAAGTCAAGCGCCCACGGATCTACTAAATGATCTATATTGGATGAAACAGACAACATATCACCATATCCATAATCTGATCCATTCTCCACCATATTCACCAATCTAGAACTAGCATTCTTGTCGTCATCGTATTCCTTCTAACATACATTTTCGTTTAATGCGACCTTTCTTACCGCGCATGTAACTCTGCACGGATTTCTTCTTTCTCGACTTAGATCGAGAATCCTAGCTGTAACCCCATTCCTTGATTTGCTTCTTCTACGTTCTTGACTACCTTCGACCATAAGTCCTGCTCCTTGATCTCCTCCTTCCTTGTATTGATGGCCAACAAAGTCCCCTCCACAGTCTCTTTTCTCCACGTTAAAGTCGTAGATGAATTTTCGTATGAAGCCAGTGCAGAATTAGACAGTATCTCAATGCCTTATCCTCATCTTCAAATGTCACATCTACAGGTTGTAAATCATTGATGGTTGATTGAACATGTTTATGTATTGTCTCATATCCACACCGTCTCACATCTTAAGCATATATAACTTTTGCTTGAGACAACTTGTTCGTCTACAACTTTGACATGCTAATTTTGACCAAAATGTCGCAGGTGATTCCTCGTCTATAATGTGAATCATCACATCATCTACCAAACAAAGTCAAATGGTGGATACAACCTTTACCTCCAACTTGCTCCATTTTGCCTCAAACATCTCTTGTGGCTCTTCCCAGCATCTTTACCATTTTATGCTCCACCAACAAACCCTTCACCCTCCTCTTCCATAATCCTAAATTCCCCGATTCATCGAATCTCATGATATCGAGTTTCACAGAAGATGATACCTCAGCCTTCGCGAAAATTCCTAAATTGCTGTGAACAGTAAAATCGGAAATAAGAATAATAAGATGAGACACCTAATCAATATATATCAATGACCAACTCTTTTCTAATCTTGCCAAATACTGTCCAATTTATTATGCCAAACATTGCTGCATTGCCCTCAAATTCTTGACGAAACCGGTGGTTGACAATAAGTTGAAGGATAGGTTTACCAGCCGGATGTCCTCCTTTCTTTTTCTTTGAGTTATGAACATTAATTATCTTAAAATATAAATTCTAGCAGGTTTTTCTTTAATTTATACAATCGTGCTTTGCTAATAGAATCCTAATTAATTTTAATATTTGTCCTTTTCACAATTACTATAATTTCCCCTCTTATTTATTGCAATTCAAAGCACCAGTTTTATACATTGTCATGAATAATCCATGATCACTTTAAATATTTGTAACAATGCAGGTCAAAAACCAAAGGCTTTTGGGGTATACTTCAGAGATTCAAATGGTAATAGGCATATGGCCTATTTGAACAATGGACCCGTGAATGAAATCATTTTATCATCTGGTGCACTTGGAAGCCCACAATTGCTAATGCTAAGTGGAATTGGGCCGGCCAATCAACTCAGAGCCCAAGGGATAAAAGTGATATTGGATCAACCAAATGTGGGCCAAGGAATGTCTGATAACCCAATGAATGCTGTCTTTATTCCTTCACCTCGGCCCGTTGAAATGTCCCTTATTCAAGTGGTGGGTATAACACAAGTTGGTAGTTTCATTGAAGCAGCAAGTGGATTTTTTGAGTTGGTTTGGGCCCGTAGGATGGCCCAAGAAGTTTCCAAGTTCGAAAATCAGGTTAGCCCATTAGGCCCATAATTTTTTGTTTGGTAGTTACAACGTGGGCTTTCGGTTAAGGTTAGATCATTTATCGTGCTCCATACATTGCTACATTTATCGAAAGATTTAGATTTAAAATTGAAATATTACACAATATGCAGACTGGTCATCCATTCACAACCCCTTTCAATGAAAACAAGCAAGAAGCCATGCCAGGACCCGACCCTTACCGATATGCGAACATTCAAGCTGGAGTCATCCTAGAGAAGATTGCGGGACCTTTCTCAACCGGCTATCTAGAGCTCCAAAGTAGGGATCCAAATGACAATCCAAGAGTCACATTCAACTACTTTAAAGATCCAAGGGACCTACAAAGATGTGTTCAAGGCATGGAAATAGTTAGAAGAGTCGTGGAATCAAGACATCTCTTTACTTTTCGTTATCCCTTTGCAACCATGCAAACTCTGATGAACATGATGTTGACTTATCCAATTAACCTAAGGCCTAAACACGTGACAGCAACTTATTCCATGGAACAATTTTGTGTAGACACTGTGATGACTATATGGCATTACCATGGAGGATGCCAAGTTGGTAGGGTTGTGGATCAGAATTACAGAGTGTTAGGTGTCGATTCGTTACGCGTTATCGATGGGTCGACGTTCTACAACAGTCCGGGAACTAATCCTCAAGCTACTGTTATGATGCTTGGGAGGTAAATATAAGCACTATAAACTAATTATAATTAGAGATTGTTGATTAATTAAGCTGATTATGAACATTGGACTTAATTAAGTTTTCTTCTTGTGCTGTGAATCTGTGATGCAGGTATATGGGACAAAGAATTCTGCAGGATAGAACTCCCTTCTGAAGGAAATTAATCTAGAGTAGTTAATTATCTTGTCCCTCCAAATTGAAATGAGATTATTATTATTTTCATAAGTTCCTTTTTTTTTTAAATCCTAATCACTTAAATGCTAACTCTGCACAAGCTAGCAGCCTTGTATATGAATAATCTTTAGGTTTATGATATCAAATTTCCATGGAGAACAATGATATTTAAACCATGAATGAGGACATGCCATTTGCATATAAAAGAACCTTTGCGTAGCTGAAGAAAAGAACCTGTACCTAACGAGATTGAGTGAATACTTAAAATTGTGATAATTTATTATTATCTTTCCATATAAACACACCATTAAGATTTTCTCAATATTTGCGCAGATTATTCAGTTTTCCATAGGAATCAACAAAGACCCCAAATTCTAAAGTATATGCAGAATCAACGAGTCCTTGGATGTGTCCAGTGTTAATCTCGTTTTACGCCACATGAACAAGGAAGCCATTAAGAATAGGGGGATTTGGTTGCGTGGGTGGGTGGTTTCTTATTAGCTATTGAAAGGGTTTGGTAAATGGTACTTTGACTATCAGAATATACTACTACATGATTAGATAATTCATTTATTTCACGTAACAAACCTTTAAGCCAAAGAGCTTCTTTTAGCCATATAGTAACTATATATTCTGTTTCAGTAATGGATAAGGCAATAATAGTTTGTCGTTGGGATTTCCAACTCATACAAGTTCCACATAAAGTAAACATGTATGCAATATTAGATTTCATGTTATCGCTATTACCAGCAAAATCAGAATCTACAAAATACTTAAGTACAACACCCTCTGTACATGCAGTGTAACATAAACCTAAATTAGAAGACCCCTTCAAGTATCTAAATAACCATTATAGTAGAATCTAATGTTCATGGCCTGGATTGGCCAAAAACCGACTCAAATTACTTAAAACATGGGTTACATCAGGTCTAGTACATACCATAGTGTACATAATTAAGCCCATGGCATTTGCATAAGGAACCTTTCTATATATTTCACATCAAATTCATCAACTGGATACGATTCCAAATCTTTCATTTTGTCTTGACTCTATCCAAACATTTAGTTTGTACCACCAACCGTCTTAAATCTTTGAAATATTAACACCAAAAGGACAAATTGATCGAAACCTTTAGTGACCATAAAAATAAAAATTGATTTTTTTACAAATTAAATCAAGGGTATTTTCGTCCGTTCACATTTTCCTCTTCAATAATTAGACTTTAGTGTTTATTTTAATCTCTTTCCTCCCCTATTAATCTCTCTCTCCCAAATTGACCGACAAGAAGTTCAGCTCGTAGAAGGAGATGGATGTTTGTAGATGTGGTTACCTATACAGATGAAGACCTCGTGGATGAACCTAAACCCATAAATAAGATTTCTCAATTGTCCATAGAGTCAAGATTTGGATAGATGTACCTTCTTTGTGTGGTGGGACCCTCCAATGTGCGAAATATCGAAGGAGCTAATTTTTAGATTTCTATGGGCTAGGAGGGAGATGGAAGCTGAAATCAATCCCCTCCAATCAACAAGACCAAATTTGAGAAAGACATGACTATTCAAATTTGTATGTTAAGTTTTTGTTAAATGGGTTTGGAAAGTTGTATTGGTTCTTATTTTTTGCCAATGAAGTATCTCATTCAGATTTGCTATTACAGATTTTGTGTTTCCTTTCTTTTTTTGCTATTATTTTCTTCGAAATACAATGGTAGTGTAGGCCCCAAACGTTTTGTGGACGGTCCACCAAAGACCCCCAAACCTTTATTATTCGTTGAAGCAAAAGTCTCAAACGATCCCTAACCTTTGAAATAATTAAGAAATGATCCCAACCTCTTATGCAATTATTTGTAGACACATCACCATTTTCATACCAAATTACAATTCAAATCACAACAAATAAGATCCAAATGAAAATATTCTTAATAACTATGAAAAAAATATGCTTAATATTTATATTAGAAATGTTAGATGTCCATCATTATCAGTTAACTACACAAAAAGATGTTTACTACTTTCAAAATATTACTATTAAAAAAAAAATTAAACCAAAAACTGTTCAAGATTTTTCTCTTTTTTCCTTGGACTTCTTCTTATGTGATTGCATATCAGTAAATCAAAATGCATTTCTCTTCCCCTTCGATGTTTTTATCGGTGTATCTGGTTGTGTTTCCGACTGTGTGTCTGGTTGTGTTTCTAGCTGTGAACTAGCTTCATCAGGAAATATAGCCTTACATGGTCTCTTGTTATGCCATGAATCCTCGCAACGTTTAGAAGTCATTTTCATGCCAGTCATTCCCATTTTCACTCTAGCAAGTAGTGCTGCTTGTGGTCTTTTTCTCAACTTTTTAGGCCTGCCTACCTGTTTCTTCTTCGTGGGTTGATTCAGAGGATGTTTTCCCAACTCTAGCAATAGCTCAGATCCTGACATTGGATGTATTATTGGGGTGTAATACATTAGTTATGTTTCTCAACTGTAACATGGATAAATATATTCATATGTATGCCTATGTCCCTTGATAGCTTTTTTTTAAAAGAGGGACGATCCCTCCACATTTATTGAAAATAAAAGCATTCACTTATAGTGGAGGAACGACCATGGTTACACTGTCCTTTCATAGCCTACCTGATATTGCATGAGCACATTGTATTCTAGGCCTTTTTTGTATGCACATTCATATTGTGTCAAGTCTACACTCCATCTCAATCTATCTCTGCTACTGATCTCAAATTTTTCATGATTAGCTTAATCTACCTTTAAGTATCTTGCTTCTGCCTTAGCCTTCTCAATGACACTCAAAATTCTAGGCCCAAATGCATTGTCCCACCTCTGTGCTGATTCTTTTTTGGTATTCATTCTGATTATTTGTCAATGTATGATCTTCTCCAGCATTAAGATGGTAGGCTCCTCTCTAGCAAAAAATATGGAAGAATTGAATAAATCGCATAAGTTATTCAAAAGAATATCACATCTGGAATGCTCTTGGAAGTGTGATCTGCTCCTTAGGATAGTGGTTTTTCATCGAACCACTCATAGGCTTTTTTATTGACATCTTTCATTTCATTCATTGCATCCCTCCACTTTGGCACAGTTATTGCCGTTGCTGCAGCCAAAAACAAAGTTCTTAAGAGTTGGTCATTTATGTAACAAAGTGAAATTGCTATACAAATGTTTAGCACAACACCTATGCTTAGCCCCTTTACAAAATTATTCAGTGAATCCACAAATCCTTTTCGTTTACCAGAGATGAAAGTCCAAGCACTGCTATTATGCATCCCTATATCAAACAACAACTCTATGAACCATTGTCATTTTATTTTGCTCTCGACATCTACAACATCCCATGCCATAGGAAACATGCAATTCATACCATCAATTCCAACTGCTACCAACAACTGTCGCCAACAACTGCTCACCATGGTTAGTCTTTATCAAACAACCATCCAACCCAACTATAAGCTTACAACCAACTTTAAAACCTTCTTTTCAAGCCCACAGACATATGTATATTCTCTTGAAAATAGGTCACGTACCTTCAATCTGCACTTTACTCCCAGGATTAGTTCTCTTCAATTCTTCACCATAATACCACAATGCTTTGTACTATTCAACAACAATCTCATTAACAACTTCTGTACATTTAGATATGATCCTATAAAACTGACGTAGTAAAACATTATAGGAAAGATGAACAACCTCACAAATATGAGATAAACTCACGAAAGTTTTATTCTATTCAATAATGTCTGCCTCGAAGGGCATACAATGGTTTAAATAGCAAAACCCTAGCAAATTTCGGAAAATAAATAATAAAAATAAAAAAACGATATTTTTCCATAAATGGAAAAATTCGAGATTCTAACTTAAATGGAAACTCCTAATATTCAGGATCGTCCTCCAACAAACGGAATCAAAATCCGAATTTTATTCAATGAGATATTACCAAAATAAAAATTACCATAAACGGCAAAAACGCGTGATCGAGAGCCTAAACGATGGAATCTGTCCGAAATCCGACGTACGTCATGGCCGAAGGCGATGAGTTGTGATCCTTGGCCCGTTTCCACTCAAATTAGACTATTAATTCGTCAAAAACGGACAAACCCAAAGTTATCATGAAATCATTATTTTGCCTTGCGATCCCACTTCATCATAAATTCTAACTCCTTATGCACTTCATCATTCTCCCCAGGGTGAGAAAAATTCGCCCTCGAATTTGACAGGGAAGAAGTCTCATCATCATCAGAATTATCACCACGAAATGGCACCAGATGCTTGACATTAAACACGTCGGATGTGCGAATATGACTTGGCAGCTTTAAACGATAAGCATTTGGATTAATCTTCTCAATGACCTCCAATGGACCAATCTTCTTGGCAGTAAGCTTGTTGTATTCATGAGCAGGGATACGATCTTTTGTCAACACCGCCCAAACAAAGTCACCCACCTCAAATTCAACATGTCGACGCTTAAGATCTGCATCATGCTTATATTTATTAACAGCAGCCTGCAACTGAGCATGAGCCTGCGAGTGAATCTGCTGTAACTGTTGAACGAAGTCCTCAGCCTTACCATGCATTTTAACAGAAGTAGAAACTGGGGCCAAGTCAAGGGGACCACGAGGAACGAGACCATAAACTACCTGAAATGGACTAAAACCTGTACTCCGGTTGACAGCATGATTATGAGCAAATTCTGCCTGACACAACTTCTGATCCCAAGACTTGATGTGATCACCAACCAAACAACGTAGTAAATCACCCAATGAGCGATTAACAACCTCTGTCTGTCCATCTGTCTGAGGGTGATATGCACTGCTGAAGTCCAACTTTGTATTGACCGAGCGCCACAAACTGCGCCAGAAGTGACTGAGGAAACGAGTATCCCGATCAGACACAATAGATGTAGGCAGTCCATGCAAGCGATATACCTCACGAAAGTACAGTAAAGCCACATTGACAGCATCCGTAGTTTTCTTGCA